TTCTCCCGGAAAACGGGAAGCAGAGCCAGCAGGCGGCTCCCGGGGTGCATGGAGAGGGATTCCAGCCCTGGAAGCGGGATCCGGGGATGACAGGGCCCCGGCGCCGCAGCGCGACGGGGACGCGCTGCAAGGGGGAGGGAAAGGCGGCGGATCCGGGAACGCCGCGCTCACCTCCTCAAGGACACGGCGCATTCCCAGCCCTTCCCGCAAGGATGCGAGCGCGGCCGGAGCGCGGGAATCCACAGGGATCCAACACGGGCGGCCAGAAAGGCCGGGGCCGGTGGTGACGGGGCAGCCGCCATCCCGGAGCGCATCCGGAGCGGTGCTCCGCGATCCCTGCTCCAGAGCCCGGCAAGATCCGGAGCCGTCCAAGGGGACGGCCGCGGTGGCGGATCCCTCACCGGAGGCTTCCCGCAGGATTCGGCTATCGGCCTCCGCGGAAGAAGGATTTACGGATCTTCGGCGCCGCGAGCTGTCCGGGTTTCGGAGGATGCCGGTTGCATCCGCTCGCTCCGACGTTGCATCCTCGCGGGGCGATCCGTGCGCGCTGCCATTCCCAGTCCCGTGCCGGGATCCAGGCTCTGCTCCGGTCAGCGGGCGCCGGATGGAGAAATCTGGAAATCCGGGATACGGCGCCCACTTATGCAACTGGCGTTGGAGCGAGGAGCGACGTTCCGGGCAGTCCTGGCGCAAATGGCCCCCATTGGCGTCTCCGTGGAGGCTGCGGCTCTTCCTCCGCTGCTCCCGGAGCTTCCAGGGATATCGGACGGTGAATCCGGGAAATTCCGGCCTTGACCAAACCCTCGGCCCTTTGCCCGTCACCGGAATCCGGCCTCGAACCTGGGGCTATCCCAGGGCGCGCGGCGGGATCTTGATCCGAAGATGTTCCTTGGAGATGAGGACGAGGACACGAAGCCACCAGGGCTGCTCATGGGGCTGGGTCGGAGGCTGCGGGGCTGGCTCGGGATGCTCCTCTCGCCGCACAGGGAAGGGGCTGAGCTGGGCCCAGCAGTGGGAAAGCCAGAAGCCGTCGAGCTCCGTCCGCTCTGGATCATCCGGATCATCCAGCCGGGACATTCCCAGATGGGCTCCGCCGAGGATCCCAGAAGGGCCGAGGCGGCTCCCATCCCCAAGCGGCAGCAGGAAGGTCCTCAAGGCCCCGGCTCCCAATGGAAGGAGCTCCCTTCCCGCTCCTTCTCTCCCCGTTTCAGGAAAGGGGCGTCCAAGCGGGATGGAGCAGGAGTCGCTGGGAAGAGCGATGGGCTCCTCAGCGCCGGCGGCCGCAGATTTAGCTCTAACGATCACCCCAAATCTCACGTTACTTCCCAGCGTTCATGGCGCATCCATGAGCTCCGCATAGCGATTCCCTAAAAACCAACCGCTCCGGGACCTTCCGCGGTTCCGAACCAGCCACGAGGCTTCCTGCATCCCAGAGCAGCTCCAGGACATGTCCCCAGCGGCCCCCTCGGTGCCACCCGCTCCGTCCTGGGAGCGCCAGGACCCCGAGGTCCCACAACAACCGGATTCCCAACAAGGGGGATGAGGAACGCGGGAACGGCCCCGCTCGGAGCCGCTCCTGACCCAACCCTGCCCCAACTCCGCCA